TAATAGTAGTAGTAATAATAGTAGTAGTAATAATAGTAGTAGTAATAATAATAGTAATAATAATAACAGTAATAATAATAGTAACAATAACAATAGTAATAATAATAGTAATAATAGTGATAATAATGACAACAATAACGACAGCAATAACAATAATAATAAAAGTTTCCTAGCATATGTGAGTGTTCGGATACTTGTCTCGGTTTTTTAACTCAGTAACTAGAAGAATTAGGACGATGAAATTTTAGGAGAATTTTCCTATCCATGTTCAGTTTTATCAACTTAAAACAAGCTTCCGTGCACGCTTACCTCTCAGTAAGGGCAACTTTTGCCAGAAAATTTTCTAGCTCTGGAACCGGACAAGAAGGAAAGAAGAGATTTTAGGAGAAATGTTTCCTGATCATTTCCGGCCCTGAACGATTTTAACAGCAAGCATCCACCAGCAGAACTGTGCATAACGAATGTTGCACCGGCCAGCTACTGTTCATCGATAGTTATTTTTACAATTTACAGTTAGATGCAGTTATCCAGAAGTGCTTGTACGATTGGGGCCAAAAGAAAGTCACACAGTACCAATATGTCCAAAAGATGCTTCGGATACACCAAAATCTGATGTCTTCGTTTGTGATGGTCTGGTATGCAATCGATGTCGATGCGACGTCAAACGGGGCTATAGGTTATCGAACGATACGGCGCAAGCGGAATGTGTAATGTTCTGTCCGCGAATACGTACACGTGGATGTATCAGCTCCAAAACCGGCCAACCATGTCTCTAAACGAGCCATTTAGAAAGCTCTAGCGTTCAGCTTTATCCATTCCTTTACTCCATAAATCGCAGAAAAATGGATTTCAATATCCAGCATTGGCCGCTTGCCTGCTTCTTAAACAACAGAAAGGAGGATCAGTGATATTGGACTGTGTTTTGACAATTGATTTTATCGATAATTATCGATTGTCGATGATTGATGCTGATTTTTATGAACTGAATAAATTTTGAAGTTTTTTTGTTAATTGACGCAACACATCATGTAAAAGCTTTGAAGCGCACTGGAGAACTGCTAAGAATATTCATTCTTTGCACTGGGCTACATGGGCCAGCTGAAATGCAGTTCGGAACTCCATTTAGATATATTCTTCCCCACTAGGACGATAAATATTCTGACAGAATTTCAGCTTACTTCTCCAGCTAGTATTCGAGTTGGTGCAGCGCCAAGTGCGAATAGTTATACTCGAGTCTAATTGATTACTTGAGGTGAGTTTCAAAGTCAAACTCAAAAGCTAAGTACCTCTTT